CTCCCACTGTTAGTTCCTCCCCTGTCTCCTCCTGCTGTTAGTTCCTCCTGTCTCCTCCTGCTGTTGGGTTCTCCTGCTCCCCCTCCTGCTGTTAGTCTCTCCTGCTCCTCTCCTGCTGTTAAGGTTCTCCTGTCTTCCCTCCTGCTGTTAGTTCTCCTGTCTCCCTCCTGCTGTTAGTTCTCCTGTCTCCCTCCTACTGTTGGGGTTCTCCTGTCTCCTCCTACTGTTAAAGGTTCTCCTGTCTTCCCTCCTGCTGTTAGTTCTCCTGTCTCCTCCTGCTGTTGGGTTCTCCTGTCTCCTTGCTGTTAGTTCTCCTGTCTCCCTCCCTGCTGTTAGGTCTCTCCTGTCTCCTCCTACTGTTGTCTCCTCCTGTCTCCTCCTGCTGTTAGTTCTCCTGTCTCCCTCCTACTGGGTTAGTTCCTCCTGTCTCCCTCTTGCTGTTGGGGTTCTCCTGTCTCCCTCCTGCTGTTAGTTCTCCTGTCTCCCTCCTACTGTTAGTTCTCCTGTTCTCCCTCCTGCTGTTAGTTCTCCTGTCTCCTTCCTGCTGTTAGTTCTCCCGTCTCCCTCCTGCTGTTAGTTCTCCCGTCTCCCTCCTGCTGTTAGTTCTCCTGTCTCCCTCCTGCTGTTAGTTCTCCTGTCTTCCTCCTACTGTTAGTTCTCCTGTCTCCCTCCTACTGTTAGTTCTCCTGTCTCCCTCCTGCTGTTAGTTCTCCTGTCTCCCTCCTCCTGCTGTTAGTTCTCCTGTCTCCTTCCTGCTGTTAGTTCTCCCGTCTCCCTCCTGCTGTTAGTTCTCCCGTCTCCCTCCTGCTGTTAGTTCTCCTGTCTCCCTCCTGCTGTTAGTTCTCCTGTCTTCCTCCTACTGTTAGTTCTCCTGTCTCCCTCCTACTGTTAGTTCTCCTGTCTCCCTCCTGCTGTTAGTTCTCCTGTCTCCCTCCTGCTGTTCCGTTTCATCAGTCTTCCTGTTTACTGCTAGTGCTGTTGGCCTCTGTTACTGCTGCTACTGTTCACCCTCTGGCTGTTCCTGTTATTAGTTCATTTAACCATCGCTGCACCTGTCATCTGTTGATCCTGTAGGCCCTCACCTGCCTTCCTCTCTCAGCCCTACCCCAACACATCTCCTCAGCCCTCACCTGTCATCATCATCATAGCACGCTCTCACCCGTCATCATCATCATCTCTCAGCCCTCACCTGTCATCATCATCATCAACTCTCAGCCCTCACCTGTCATCATCTCTCAGTTCTCACCTGTCATCACCATCATCATCTCCTCAGCCCCTCACCTGTCATCACACATCATCAACCTCATCCCTCACCTGTCATCATCTCTCATCCTCACATCACTAGTCTCTCAGCCCTCACCCGTCAACACATCATCAAATCATCCCTCACCTGTCATCATCATCATCATTCTCAGCCCCACCTGCTCATCATCATCATCATCTCTCAGCCCTCACCTGTTATCATCACATCATCATCTCAGCCCTCACCTGTCATCATCATCATCAAGGACTCCAGCCCTCACCTGTCATCATCATCATCAACTCTCAGTCCTCACCTGTCATCATCTCTGCCCTCACCTGTCACACCATCATCGCCTCTCAGCCCTCACCTGGGCTCACTCATCATCATCAACTCCTCAGCCCCTCACCTGTCATCATCTCTCAGTCTCAATTCTGTCATCACTCATCATCAACTCATCCTCATGTCAACATCATCACTCTCAGCCCTCACCTGTCATCATTATCATCAACTCTCATCCCTCACCTGTCACCATTATCATCATCTCTCAGCCCTCACCTGTCATCATCATCATCATCTCTCAGCCCTGACCCGTCATCATCATCATCATCTCTCAGCCCTCACCTGTCACCATTATCATCAACTCTCAGCCCTCACCTGTCATCATTATTATCAACTCTCATCCCTCACCTGTCATCTCCTGGCAGGTGATGACACCCCAGAGCCGTGATATACAGGTGTTGCAGGAGGTGAATTATCAATTAAAGCCTTATGTGGGTAATACAGGAAACGTGACTGCCGCCTTGGTCCGGGGGCACACACGGCCTTACCAGCGGGGTGTGGGAGAGGAGAGGGTAACAGGGAAGGAGGGATGGGAGAAATGAGTGTGAAAAGAGAAGGGGGAAGGAAGGGGGAAATGTAATAGGAAAGGGAGAGATAGAAGAAAGTAGAATATGGAGAGAGAAGGAGGGATGGGAGAGAAACAAAGATAAATAAAAGATGGAGAGAAGGAGGAGGCAAAGATGAAGAGGGATAGAGAAGAAAGGAAGAATATGAGGGAGGGAAGGAAGGAGGATGTGTATAAGGTAATAGAGAGAGATGCTGCTGTGAGCCAGAAGCAGGAGAGGGACAGTCTGGACCAGCGACTCGGTATGCGATTTTCATAGTAAAATGACTCGGTAATAACGAAAACACACGACCATGTACACATTTAGACAATCACGTGTGTGTGTGTGTGTGTGTGTGTGTGTGTGTGTGTGTGTGTGTGTGTGTGTTGAATACCCATAGAGGGGAGGAAGAGCTGGTTGTTACATGTAGGGATTTTGGACGTTTATTGCTTGCTATAATGCGTACACACCTTGCTATAACGTGTACACACCTTGCTATAACGTGTACACACCTTGCTATAACGTGTACACACCTTGCTATAACGTGTACACACCTTGCTATAACGTGTACACACCTTGCTATAACGTGTACACACCTTGCTATAACGTGTACACACCTTGCTATAACGTGTACACACCTTGCTGTAACGCGTACACACCTTGCTATAACGTGTACACACCTTGCTATAACGTGTACACACCTTGCTATAATGCATACACACCTTGCTATAACGCATACACACCTTGCTATAACGTGTACACACCTTGCTATAACGTGTACACACCTTGCTATAACGTGTACACACCTTGCTTTAACGTGCACACACCTTGCTATAATGCGTTCACACCTTGCTATAATGCGTACACACCTTGCTATAACGTGTACACACCTTGCTATAATGCGTTCACACCTTGCTATTACGCATACACACCTTGCTATAATGCGTACACACTTGCTGTAACACGTACACACCTTGCTAAAACGTGTACACACCTTGCTTTTAGTGTACACACCTTGCTATAATGCATACACACCTTGCTATAACACGTACACACCTTGCTAAAACGTGTACACACCTTGCTTTTAGTGTACACACCTTGTTATAATGCATACACATCTTGCTATAACGCATACACACCTTGCTATAACGCATACACACCTTGCTATAATGCATACACACTTGCAATAACGTGTACACATCTTGCTATAACGTGTACACACCTTGCTATAACGTGTACACATCTTGCTATAATGCATACACACCTTGCTATAATGTGTACACATCTTGCTATGACGTGTACACACCTTGCTATAATGCATACACATCTTGCTATAACGTGTACACATCTTGCTATAATGTGTACACACCTTGCTATAATGTGTACACATCTTGCTATAATGCATACACATCTTGCTATAACGTGTACACACCTTGCTATAACGCATACACACCTTGCTATAATGCGTACACACCTTGCAATAACGTGTACACATCTTGCTATAACGTGTACACACCTTGCTATAACGTGTACACATCTTGCTATAATGCATACACATGTTGCTATAATGTGCACACACCTTGCTATAACGCGTACACACCTTGCTATAATGCATACACACCTTGCTATAACGTGTACACATCTTGCTATAACATGTACACACCTTGCTATAACGTGTACACATCTTGCTATAATGCGTACACATCTTGCTATAACGTGTACACACCTTGCTATAACGCATACACACCTTGCTATAATGCATACACATCTTGCTATAACGTGTACACATCTTGCTATAATGTGTACACACCTTGCTATAATCTGTACACATCTTGCTATAATGGGTACACATCTTGCTATAACGTGTACACACCTTGCTATAACGCATACACACCTTGCTATAATGCAAACACACCTTGCTATAATGCATACACACCTTGCTATATCGTGCACACGCCTTGCTTTTTTGCGTACACACCTTGCTATAACGCGTACACACCTTGCTATAATGCATACACATCTTGCTATAACGTGTACACACCTTGCTATAACGTGTACACACCTTGCTATAATGCATACACACCTTGCTATAACGTGTACACACCTTGCTATAATGCATACACACCTTGCTATAACGTGTACACACCTTGCTATAACATGTACACACCTTGCTAAAACGTGTACACACCTTGCTATAAGGCGTACACACCTTGCTATAACGTGTACATACCTTGCTATAACGCATACACACCTTGCTATAACACGTACACACCTTGCTATAACATGTACACACCTTGCTAAAACGTGTACACACCTTGCTATAATGCATACACACCTTGCTAAAACGTGTACACACCTTGCTATAACGCTCACACACCTCGCTGTAACGCTCACACACCTCGCTATAACGCGTACTGTACACAATCAACCTAAACAACATACAAACGAGCACATGAAAGACATGTATAGAACACCAGTGACCCACCAGTAGGAACATCAACAGTGCCAGCAGTTGATTTTAATCCGTACAATGAAAAGTCTTTGGAAGCTACGCCTCTCCACCACCTGGCGATCACATACAGAAGCTACGCCAGACGATATGTTTTCCACACACACACACACACACACACACACACACACACACACACACACACACACACACACACAATAACGCATACAGTTATACAGAGAAGCAACACACACACACACACACACACACACACACACAAATAACGCATACAGTTATACAGAGAAGCAACACACACACACACACACACACACACACACACACACGAGACTCTACATCCCCATCATTAATTAATACAACAATTTCCTGAGACCAGACGTCCTATTGCCTGCAGGACGACCCTTCACTAAGGACGACCTGCGACTACTTCCATTACCATCCCATACTCCAGGGACACCCAGGCTCCTGTTCCATACTCCAGGGACACCCAGACTCCTGTTCCATACTCCAGGAACACCCAGACTCCTGTTCCACCCCAGACACCCAGACTCCTGTTCCATACTCCAGGGACATCCAGACTCTCTGTTCCATACTCCAGGGACACCCAGACCCTGTTCCATACTCCAGACACCCAGACTCCTGTTCCATACCCAGGACACCCAGACTCCTGTTCCATACTCCAGGACACCCAGACTCCTGTTCCATACTCCAGGGACACCCAGACTCCTGTTCCATACCCAGGACACCCAGACCCTGTTCCATACCCAGGGACACCCAGACCCTGTTCCATACTCCAGGGACACCCAGACTCCTGTTCCATACTCCAGGGACACCCAGGCTCCTGTTCCATACTCAGGGACACCCAGACTCCTGTTCCATACTCCAGGGACACCCAGACCTGTTCCATACTCCAGGGACACCCAGACTCTGTTTCCAGACCCTGTTCCATACTCCAGGGACACCCAGACTCCTGTTCCATACTCCAGGGACACCCAGACTCCTGTTCCATACTCCAGGGACACCCAGACTCCTGTTCCATACTCCAGGAACACCCAGACTCCTGTTCCATACTCCAGGGACACCCAGACTCATGTCCCATACTCCAGGGACACCCAGACTCCTGTTCCTTACTCCAGGAACACCCAGACTCCTGTTCCATACTCCAGGAACACCCAGACTCCTGTTGTAATACTTAAGAAATCAGTTCCTTGTTTCAGTACGTAACTAAATACTGTACGAGTACTCGCCTCGGGATGCCAACATTTATCAATCTCTCGGTGTTTACGTGTTGATGACTAATGTATAAACGCGCTTAATTCCCTTAGTTGTTAAAGGTCAATAAAACAGTAAAACACCATACTAAGAGTGAACAATATATTGATACTGATATATTTCACTTAATGTCTTACTGTCACGCTCTCGTTGTGTCCGTATAATATATAGGTTTAGAAGTAACCACGCTCTCGCTGCGTCCGTATAATATATAGGTTTAGAAGTAACCACGCTCTCGCTGTGTCCGTATAATATATAGGTTTAGAAGTAACCACGCTCTCGCTGTGTCCGTATAATATATAGGTTTAGAAGTAACCACGCTCTTGCTGTGTCCGTATAATATATAGGTTTAGAAGTAACCACGCTCGCGTTATGTCCGTATAATATATAGGTTTAGCAGTAACCACGTCTCAGTAATACGAATGCTGTACATAAACGTTTATCATTGTTTAATTTATTTACCGTTAAATAATCACTTAATGAATATATTCACGTTTAGAAAATCTTGTAATCAAATTTCTTAATCACATACGTAATATAGTCTGTTTGTTGTGTACTGGGAGCCTGTGGTATTATGTACTCTTAAAACCAGACAGTTAATCATCTTATGTTAAGCAAGCTATTCAGAATTTCCCCGAATAGGTAACGCAAGAGTCGCTAGGCTCCATGGCTATATAAATAGACCGTCCTCAGCAGTGGCAATCCCAGAATTAACAGAGCTACAACATGCCAAATATACTGTATATAGTATACAACTACGTACATGGTTATCACATCTCAGATAATGATGTTGCAACGTATGGTCAGAGGACATCCTTGTATTAACAGTAATATTCCCAATATTATGCGTCTATAATAATAATAATAATAATAATAATAATAATAATAATAATAATAATAATAATAATAATAATAATAATAATAATAATAATAATAATAATATTATTATTATTATTATAATTATTATTAATATAGTAATTTTATTTTTGAATACTGTATATATTGTAGGTAGTTTCGACCCTTAATTTATATTAGTTTTAAATTATGACTTCCACAAATTCATATATCAAGAAACAACCAAAAACCAGCAAGATTCAACACAACACACTTCTTAACCTGTTGCTTACTATTCTCTTTCGTGGGTAAGCCTTTCAAGCTACAGTATACAGGTATGTGCGACTATTTTGCTCCTTATAAGTATACTGTATTGTAGTAGTAGTAGTAGTAGATGAAAAGTAGTCGACGCTCTGCCACGCTATCATGTTTTTGTATTTTGAACTGAGAGGCCGATCATGTTGCTATTTTTACTGACACGGCAAAATTGATGTTCACTGTGCGCTGTGTCAATAACCCCGATACTCTTGACATTACTGCAAATGAAAATTGGTTGGAAGTAAAAACTGCCCGGGTAGTGAGCTTTCATCTACAGCTTCATTCATGCAAGCGGACCCCAAAAAATAGTTTAACCTTTCAGACAATGGATGAGGTGACATAAATACTAGGAAATTTCCTCTGGAGCCTTTCATCTCGCATATAACAGTTCTGTAAGCAACGTTTTATTTGATACGGAGCACCCGCCAGCCAGTCAGTGATTTGGTGGAGTGAAGGCCTGACGTCATGGGTGGAGTGGGGGCGTCACGTCGTGTTCCTAAAGCGGACTATCTGTATAGGAATGAACCAAACCCAACCTACTAAAGTTTTTTCTTGGTTATTGTCGTCTTCGTATTATAGTCATCTTGAAATATGTCATAGTCATTCTTAATACATTTCTAGTAATGACGCCTACTACAACCTATCTGGTAACACTCACTAGCCTCGAATAACAACACGCCAGGCAAATTATTCCCGAATGGAGAATATGTCCGGAGCCAGATAATCACAGTAATAAGGATAAATAACCAAGGCAGGGTACTTGGGACGGGGATAGAGGGGGCATTAATCAATGAAGAACCAATACCCAACTGGGGTCCTGAATGGTTGGGTCAGGGGCTGGGAAAGGAGGTGTTTGGAAGGGAACTGAGAATTGATAGTTACCGAATTATAAAGATTGATTCCATGTCCTCTAAACTGTATATTGAATAAAATGTAGTTAATGGCTTATTTTCTATGAAAAATAAAAAGGCGTCACCCAAGTGCGAAAAGTGGCAGGGTGGGAAAAGCGTCAGTGTGTGTGTGTGTGTTGGTTTACAATATTTAAAATAAAACGAAATATGTATCCTTTGTTAGACGAATGGGAAGGTTAAATTGTGGTCTTTACCCTAATTTCTGAAGGAAAAAAACTATTCCTGGCTAACCTAACCTAGTCTAGTGTTATCTTGGCCTCAAGAAATTAAGATACAAAACTGATATCAGATCAAGCTAATTTATCGTATGATTGAACAAAACTTATACTGCCATTTACGTCTATCAATAGAATATGCTTGTTTGTTCACAGATTCGCACGAAGCAAACTTTACAATTGATTACACCAATATAACACTTACTGTGGGCCAATTCTACCAACATTACAATAAGAGTAACTTTTTAGTCAGCACGTGTGAAGCCTTGATACAGTGATGTAAACTTACGAGTTGTGAAACTTGATATATGGTGGTGTTGCCAACCTACCCTGAGGTATTGTTATCATATATCATCTGATACGGAAAGCCAATTCAGAGAACAGATACACACAAGTTGATAAAATGCTACTTAAATATACGTACAATAAAGAACTCCGGTGTGGCCGGCGTCTTGTTCACTCGACAAATTTTATAAAGGAAATGAGAAACCAATGATTGTACTATACTGTACCTCAAAACCTGGAGCCTTCATGTCAAACCTGAACAGTTGTCATCCATGATTCTACCTAAGGGACATGTGACGCTTTATGGTGACCGATTAAAGGCGGCGTAACACTGGTACTTTTTGCGTCATTTTCTTTCATCAGTTTTCCTAATAAATGTCGTTTTTCTGGGCGCTCCTTGTCACATACATATAAAACCAACCCGTGCCATTTCGTGTTTATAATCTGATCAAACATATCAGGTACATATTTGAGTAATTTATCAAAAATGTGTTATTCAATATTTTTAAGTCTAAATTTAGTTATTTTACGTGGCTCGATATTTATTTCATGGCTATCCTCATTATCTACTATGGATTTTGACTTATACTGTTGTACAATAAATTGGCGCAAGTCAATCACGCGGAAACGATACTTTTCTTCTGCGTAATACAGTCCAATTAGGAAAGATAACAACTCTTGGATAAAATGACAGAAAATGGAAGAGTTGATGCAATAAATACTAGTGTTTATATTTTGGTCTCATGACTGAAACACTCTATTACTTTCAGAAAACACCGCGGTATAAAAAAAAATAACGTGGCGTCTTCAGTGTATTGGAAATTAATAGCTGATCACTCCAGTAATTTCATCCCTACCTACAGTATAAGGCAACATCACACTGGCACCTAAGCAAGCAGCGAATATTGCCGGTTAAGGTGCCCGTGTGACGCCGCCTTTAGGCTACACACAACGACTTCCATCACCGATTCATTAATAATTACCTATTGAATTGTGCCTTAACAATCCGGGTTCAGTTGATTCATGCTGTTTATGCTTTGTGTGGAAAATCTTACAAAACCAAACATTATTGATATAAAAAATACATGTTTTGATAATCGAAGCTCATTTAATTTGTTAAACTTAGCACTTGAGACATAACTGTAAATGGGAACTATATGGACAGCTTGATTATAACCCTAATTATAGATTATCTTTGATCACGTTACGTCACTTACTGCAACAGTTAACAGATGAAGGCGGCAAAGCTGGTAAAAGTACTAATGAACTGATCTACAGTATTTACTACACATCCTTTAATATTTTAGGTCAATGTTTGCGGACCATGAATTGTCAAGTCTTCTTAGTAAAACTGTATATAGTACAATACTGTGCTTATGAATGGTCACTGTAAATCCACAACAACAAATTTTCTGAGAATTACCTTCAGAAAACAACAGTGAGTCCGAGTGTATATTACTGTACTGCATAGACTGAGAAATACGAAGCAGAGAAGAATGCAATTTATTTTAATATAATATCCTGACCTTGCTGATCACACACACACACACACACACATATATATATATATATATATATATATATATATATATATATATATATATATATATATATATATATATATATATATATATATATATATATATATATACACACAGTCATTTCAGGCACATATTTCCCTGCTTATGGTGGAGACCAACAAACAGGCGTTGTATGGTCTGCGGTAATTGCCAATTGCGGGCCAATCAGATGTTTGGCCGCTGCGGTAACGACTCAGCTCGCTGTCCATACTAACATGCTGACCAAGATATAACAATCTGCAGAATTTTAATGTTACCAGTGTTTGTTGTCCCACAGCACATGCTATTCACCATCCTATACAAAATCTTTGTTTCAGCATTTGAAATATGTATACACGAGGCTTCGTGACCTTATACCATACTCTCAAGTCTGGTTACGATACAGGAGTAATACCTAACAACTCTTCTTGAGATTGCTTCTTTACCGTGAAAAAAGTTTCCTATTTTAATAATGTTATAAACATGTGTGTACACTGTAATGCAAAGATATGCAAAAATTTTATTATTTACCATGCTCCTGCTGTAGATTTTTCTATTCTATGAAAACCGAGACCGTTCTTCACCTTGTTCAGTTCGGCCGTATATGACAAAAGATGGAAAAGTGCTGCGCAGACTAATAAATCAGTGTTGAAAAATATCCCTACAGAAATCCACGTACAGTATTTTTTTTTTTGTACAGTACAGTATTTTCATATGGTCTTTAATGGGAATTTTATCAACATGACGAAAACACATAGAAATATGTAACGATTCTTTCTTACTCAATCATTACTACCTGCTGAATCAATCGCTAAGTACTTGTACCTCCTAATTAATTAATATTCTAGGCTATAATTATCTTCACTTACCAATGAAATAAAGGCAAACATTTAAGTAGTAAATACAAAACCAATCATGAGGAACCTTTCATTTCACCGACCAGATGATCCATTGATTAGCAAATATTCTTAACTTTTTTTATTAGCTGCTGAGCCCGTCACATCTCAAACTTTCCACCCGAATTCCTCGTATGATCCTAATTTCCTAAATATACAACCAATTTTGTAACGACATCTTCCTCGAACTTCATCACTGAGAATGTGCGAGGTGTCTTGGATTTTAATAAATATATTTTTCAATGTGTGAACTGTCTAGAATTTGTATTGCTTTATTCTATAAGTAAGAAATGTGAATGTGAGAGATATTACAAATCCACGAATAATGATAAGAATAAAATATTTCCATTAAAAATTACTTTCCATCAGGTCACATTAATGAAGCACTCGAAGATCAGGGAAGCTAAAACTTGCAGAGTTCAGTTAAGCATTTGTTCACTCAAACCGATTTGTCTGGTGATCCGGTTAACTTATATCCAATACACACCAGAATTCGTCTCCGGGCCAGAGAGTTATTGGAAACCGACCAAATGTTTGTTCCTACACAAATCAGACTTTCTAAGTGAAGGTAAAAATGCTAATTTGAAGATTTTATCCGTGTATGAAACTACGTGTTTTGCTTATCTTCGTTAGCTTTTACCGACGAATGATGGAGGTTTGCTATTTTTCAAACTTCTTACCCACTCTTTAGATGCCTTATCTCATTAACGCCTAAAGACATTGGTAAATAGCTTTTACTAGTACTGTGGCAAAGTTTGACCCAAAGTTAGTGGCCTGTGATAAATTCTGACATTACCTTCTGATAGTCATTAAACCTGACATAACCTTCTTCTGACAGTGATGAAATCGGACATTACTTTCTGAGTTATTAAACCAGACACTATCTTCTGACAGCAATTAAATTTCACATTACCTGCTGACAGTGATTAAAATATGCTGCAGACAGTGATTAAATATGACTACTTTCTGCCAGTGATTTCAAACACCACAACCATCAGAAAAAACATTCAACTTCGTGAAACAAAGGACTAATTATTGCTTGAAAATTCCAACTCAGGATAATCATTCGTCTTCGGTGTTCGAAGCGTGGAAGCCTCCCACACCCACCCTAAACAAATCAGGGATCTCTGCTCTATTTCTAGAATCGGCATCAAGGAAATAATTACTTTCGTGACCCCTATACGGAAGAGTTAAGATCAGGGGTCAGTTATGAATAAAATTAAATTATAGAGTAAGAGAACTGTGGATCGTTTTGTCCATAGATTTATATGGTATAACTATCTATGAACTCCCTCTAACAGACTCTAATTACATGCTGTATAATATATTAGGACAAGAAAAGAACTGAGCAGCAAAGTACGAAAAGCCTCTCTATGCCTAGTCACTTCACCCAGTTGCTTAGATTACTAATAATTTTACCTAACCCATAAGAGAGATGGAACTGTTTTGCATTACCTATTTCCTTAAGGTACTGTATAGGTAAAAACGTGTTTTCAATTCTACTGTTTAAATGACAGATACGATATGCCTATGCAATGTTATTTCATGCTCCTATTTTGACAGAACAATGTTCCGCTTTGATTAATTCATTACATGTTTCCCTTTCCTGAGTGCATGTTTTCGTTTCCCCTCTTAGTATATATTCCTCTACTATGAGTCCTTGTTCCCTTGTCGTGAGAATCTGTTTCCCTTTAGTGAGTAAATGTTTTCTTCAAGTGGGTACAAGAATACATTTTCTTATTCCCAGAATACATGTTCCCTTTCAATGAATAGGGCCTACTTATAAAGGCAACTTGCATTGAGTTCCAAATATTCTTAGGTCTCACAGCAAGCACAGTTGGTAACCAAAATGCTTGAAGAAGACCACACGAGTCACCATATTTCAAGTGCAGGTTACAGTACACATGATAAACCAGTAAATAATGAATATTATGTAAAATGCAGAAAATACATTCAATGCAACATTTTCCTATGTAGATCAGCTTTTCGTTTATAAATTAAAAGACGGCAGGTCCGAGAAAAGTTACCTACATGAAGGAATTGTGAAATACAAAAAAGTACTGGTATAAATACTGACTGAGTTACGTCACTTGTATAATTAAATCTATAATCATACAAAATACTGTAGTTTCTGTTACAGATGATTACTTGTCTGATATCGATACTGATGTCCGTTTTTCCCTCACAGTGACGCTTATTAATGTAAGCCTCAGGTTGTACAGTATATAACTGCTACCACATTCCATTTTGCTACAAGGTGCACAAAAGAGACAGAGTAAAAACTGGTACTTACCTCTGATGACGTGAGGTAGCAGAGGCGGGAATCAGCACTCTCCATGGAGGCCTGGGCGACCAGAGCACTGTGCTCACGATCACTGGAGTAGCCTCGTTCACGGTCACTTCCATAACCGCCTCGATCACTGGCGTAGCCTCGTTCTCGGTCACTGGCGTAACCTCTCGTGTCCCGGTCACTCATGTAACCTCTCTCTCGGTTGTTCATGTAACCGCGTTCACGGTCGCTCATGTATCCTCTTTCACGGTCACTCATGTACCCTCTCTCTCGATCGCTCATGTAGCCTAGCTCTCGATTGCTCGTGTAGCCGGCACCAGCACCAGCACCGGCACCGGCACCGGCACCGACGGCGACGCCGGCAGCGGCGCCGGCGCTTCTTTCGCGATCGCTCACATAGCCTCGTTCACGATCACTCATGTATCCTCTTTCTCGATCGCTCATGTAGCCACGTTCTCCATCACTCATGTAGCCTGAGCGTTCTCGATCACTCATGTAGCCACGCGAGTCTCTATCACTGGTGTAGCCTCTCTCCCGGTCACTCATGTAGCCTGATCGGATGCTGTCCTGCCGATCGTAGAACCTGTTCAAAAGGTAGACCAGAGGATTTAAATACACATCTCTGAAATATGTTAAAGGCTGAACATCAATAAGTCTCAGTTAGTCAAAGGGAATAATCCTGACGTCAAAAGTTCCATCAATAAACCATATTAGGGTCTTCAAGGCTTAACCATAAATATGCACTACAACTCAACATCCACTTACCTGGATTTACAACAGTTACCCTATCAGTTTACATTTATCTTCAGTGTATGAATACACACTGAGCATTCCTCTGATAAAATATTGCAGCCATCTGGCAATATAACTTACCACTTAAGGACAATAATTATAATTATCTTGTAAATAATTTTGTTTCCTTACATCACCAGATACACTTGTAGTTTATAAGAATTGAAATTATGATTATGTAAGATACACCTTAAGGACCCACTCGGTTAACGAACTCGATCCGTTCCAGAAGGTCGTTCATTAACCGAAAAGTTCGTTAACCGAAACCATTGTTTCAATGGGTTTTTGGGTAATTGGTTCCAGCTCACCGAAAATTTCCTAAATTCAACAAAAATGGTAGAAAAGTTCACTTACTTTGAGGTGTGTATGTAGAAGGCTCCTGGATGATGATGATGGGATTTAGAATGGGGGTGGAGGAGAAGGAAGAAGAGAAGGCATTGGGGTGGAAGAGAAGTCACCCCATGGCACCATTTCACCCATAAAATTTTAGTTCTCTTGGTGTATTTCAAGATTATTTTCTTTAAATCAACACTGCACTGCATTATATATTGTCAATATGTAAAATATATTTCAAAATGACCAATAATTTGCTTGGAAACACAGAAAAAAGCGTTTAGTTGAAGAGAGTCTCAAGCAAGATGTTACCTCCAGTGAAAACAGAGAGACTAACTCCTGTTTGCTGTGTTAAGAGGCTGGATGCTGCGCATTAAACTAGTCACTTTACCTTCAATTATGTTCAATAATTGTTAAAATGACTAAAAATTGAATATTAAACTTTAAAATTATTGAATAGTATAAACTTCTTGATATTTACTAAAATAGTAAGGAATTTAAGCCCCAGAAACCATTAATGTATTGGCGACTGATACCAAAGCTGTCACGTTCGGCCAGTGCGCGAAAACATGTTGAGGTCGGTACCAGAAGAAATTTAACCTAATTTTTGTTCGTTAACCTAATTGAAGACCAAATTAAGAATCAAATTTCGTTAACCGAGGCGTTCATTGTGTATATATATATATATATATATATATATATATATATATATATATATATATATATATATATATATATATATATATATATATATATATATATATATATATATATATATATATGTATATATATATTTCAATAGCCCATTAGTGTGGCGCTTGTGTAAACGGCTGCTGTCTCTGCGGTGAGAGGATATACTGTAGATGCATGTGTTTCAGATACAGTGGTACTGTACGAAGCATTATACAGTGTTAAGTTATGTAATTATTCTTCATCAATATGAGGTTCTGAACATTATGAAATAAGGAGGTGCAAAAACTGTAGGCGTGAAGGTGAGGCCACACAGCATGTGTAGCAAGTGTGGTAGTGAGGTCACACATGTATAGCAGGTGTGAAGGTGAGGCCACACAGCATGTGTAGCAAGTGTGGTAGTGAGGTCACACATGTATAGCAGGTGTGGAGGTGAGGCCACACAGCATGTGTAGCAAGTGTGGTAGTGAGGTCACACATGTATAGCAGGTGTGGAGGTGAGGCCACATGTGTAGGGATGGTGATGACACACTTTTATACCAGGTGTAGGGGTGAGACCACCCATGTGAAGCAGGTGTAGTGTGGTCATGCAACGTGTGTAGCAGGTGTGGAGGTATGACCACACAACATGTGTAGCAGGTGTAATGTGGTTATGCAACGTGTGTAGCAGGTGTGGAGGTGAGACCACACATGTGTAGAAGCTGTGCCAGTGAGGTCACATAACCATGTGTAGCAGGTGTGGAGGTAGGTCCTCACATGTGTAGCAGGTGAGTGAGCTGCTATCATATGTAGGTGTGATGTGAGGCCACACAACATGTGTAGCAGGTGTGGGAGGTTGAGGCCAGCAACATGCAGCAGGTGTGGAGGTAGGTCCTCACATGTGTAGCAGGTGTGGAGGTGAGGCCACATAACATGTGTAGCAGGTGAGGAGGTGAGACCACATATGTGTAGCAGGTGTGGGAGGAGAGGCCACACCTTGCAACAGGCGTGGAGGTGAGGCCACACTTCAGTAGCAGGTGTAGAGGCAGCGTGACAACATGTGTAGCAGGAGGAGGTGAGACCACATATGTAGCAGGTGTGGGAGGAGGCTACACCCTTTGTAACAGGTGTGGAGGAGGCCACACTTTTGTAACAGGCGTGGGAGGAGGCCACATACATGTGTGCAGGTGGAGGAGGTGAGAGACCACATGTAGCAGGTGAGGGAGGCCACACTTGCAGCAGGTAGAGGAAAACACTTTTGGGTAACAGGTGGAGGTGAGGCTACACAACATGCAGGCAGGTGTGGAGGTTGAGGCCACACATGTGTAGCAGGTGTGGAGGTATGACCACACAACATGTGTAGCAGGTGTAATGTGGTTATGCAACGTGTGTAGCAGGTGTGGAGGTGAGACCACACATGTGTAGAAGCTGTGCCAGTGAGGTCACATACCATGTGTAGCAGGTGTGGAGGTAGGTCCTCACATGTGTAGCAGGTGTGGAGGTGAGGCCACATAACATGTGTAGCAGGTGAGGAGGTGAGACCACATATGTGTAGCAGGTGTGATGGGAGCCACACTACATGTGCAGCAGGTGTAGTTAAGGCTACACATGTGTAGGGGTGGTGATGACACACATTTGTATCAGGTATGGTTAGGCCACACAGCATGTGTAGTAGGTGTGGTGAGGCCACACAACATGTGTAGCAGGTGTGGTGAGGCCACATAACATGTGTAGCAGGTGTGGTGAGACCACACAGCATGTGTAGTAGGTGTGGTGAGGCCACATAACATGTGTAGCAGGTGTGGTGAGGCCACATAACATGTGTAGCAGGTGTGGTGAGACCACACAGCATGTGTAGTAGGAGTGGAGGTGAGACCACTCAATATGTGTAGCAGGTGTGGTGAGACCACACAGCATGTGTAGCCGATGTTGAGGTGTGACGACACAACAGCAGTATATATTTAATACTGTACTGCACTGTGAGAGTTTGTGAAAGACAAATAAGTAAGAATATGAGAAAAACATTTTGTAATATAACTGAGATGTGTATGAGTTGAAGTCTGGAAAGGTCAACCAAGAAAATACTGTACTGTACAATGATACAATCTTTTAACATAAAGTATAAACAATATTCTTCTATGTATCAAAAATAGACAAATTTCTAAAAAACAATGATAATTAGAAGTTATGGTTGAGTAACTTTTTGACTGGTATAGGACAGAACACATTTACAATAAGAGAGCAAAGGTTGAGAAAGATTGTTGCATGACTATGAAGAGGTGGTCTTGTTGTTCCATGAGTCTGGCAACACTTAATGTTTGGCATTACATGTACACTGGTCAACAAATTTAAGCTTTTCATCTGGTTCAGAAACACAAATACTTGTACTGGACAGTATTTAGTAAATTTAAGTACAGTATGTTGAGTATGAATCTAAACTTAATTTTACTCTACCAGGTCTAATCCTTTTTATAGACAAATTGGAAACACCGTCTTACAAAATAAATATTGCATTTGTGTAAATTTCATAAGTAGAGTCTGAATGGATTTAGATAAGTACAACCATTGTGATACAACTGACTTAACTAAAACAAAGTCTTCCTGGATTTCTATTTGCATTCAATAAATGTATGATGCTGCAGCAGAGGTTTACAAATCTGAGCTCCCACAAAACTCTCTTTCTTCAACTTACTTTTACTTTTATCCTCTTCACCACTGATTGGCTCGTTAGCTGCTTGGGCAATTGGTCATGTCTCTGTTATGCACTGTTGGCAAGTACTGGGCATGCACTGGATCCTGAATGTATCTGAACCTGCTCCAGTGTTGGTCAAGTCTGGTCTTAAAAAAACTCACACTCGGTGACGTAACAACACTCTCTGGCAGGTTGTTCCAAGAGTTCACAACTCTCACACTGAAAAAGTTCCCCCTCACAGTTTCTGGACTTGTGGCTTCTTCAACCTTGAGCTGTGACCCCTTGTGGGGCGAGTGTCTGCCAGCTTCAGGTAAGGACACTTGACAAAGTAGTCCCCGTTGTAATGTTTATACACCTCAATTAGGTCCCTCCTTGCCTGTCTGTAGTATAAGGTAGGCAAGCATCACTCATGTTTGGGAATTTCTGCCTGAGGTACAGTACTTGAAACCTTCACCATCTTTAAGTAGTACATTAATAAGAATTTTCATTCAAACTTACTTGGTGCACAAACTGTGAGATCAAAAGTGATTCATGCTTGACCCTTTTCTTAGGAGAAATGTAATTCTCACGTGAAGCTCAGTCATTTCTCTGTCCTAAACACACGTGAAACAATTTTTTTTTGTAAAACCATCATTCATGCCCGTTAGTAGGCCTATGATTCCATATATGTTACATTGACTAAATTTGAGTAATACAGCCATATTCTCATAAGACTCTTTTAGATGAATTGAGCGAGCCTTTGGTAAGCTAGGTAACTGATTTCCATTTTTATATACAGGTTTTAAACAGGTTTTGGAGCTGTCAATAAAAAAAAAAAACTGTGCTTGGATGGATCAGACTTATGACCTAGCACATCTAAAAGACCATCACACCACAGCAATAAAATAATGAACTGCTCCACACTGAAGAACTTAATGAAACGCTATGTTTTTTGAAGAGAGAAACATGGTCATCCTTGCGCAGGAGATACCACTGCTGTAATTTTGAACTTCACAATTTTGTGACTAAGTCCGTCAGCTAAACAGCTCAATAGTATCTGTGTATATTCAATATCTTGACAAATAGATGTGATACAGTAAAATAAAGGGTAGACTTGTAATTAGCATGCTTCAATTAGTAAGAAACATCCAATATGATTCATGAACCAAAAACCTCATTGACCAGTGTTACTAAAAAGCACGCACGCACGCACGCACGCACGCACGCACGCACGCACGCACACACACACACACACACATATATATATTATATCTACAGTGTAAGTATTAGGGACTCATGAAACAATGTGGCCCTCAACAATTACACTGTGCTTGGTTATCAAAAAAGAATATACTATGTAGATGGGTAAGACGGCAGTAGTGAAACATTCAAATACCCTGTACTATGGCAACAACAATTACAATAGTGCTACTGTAAATTACATGACAGGAAAAGGTAACAAGAGTAGCAGTGGGTGAATAAATCAGTACAGTACACTACAGTATCTGCTTCTTTATGTCCAAAATACTACTACAGTACGTACAATAATATGCACAATATCATCACACTATTATACTCTTGTCTTTGTAGAGGTCAATACAAACTGAGTAATTCTACAGGAGATTTGTTTAAAAACAAATATTTATGGTAACAACAGTATTGTAAACCAGGCACAGTACTGCCTCACTAGCTCTTGACATGAAAAGAAGATTAGAGCAGTGAGATACACAGAGGTGTTCGTTAGTTAATCTAAAACGGTGTTTGTCTTCATACAGGACACACAGAACACACACAATGGGTATGGTTGCCTACATACCTCAGCCTTGCCCTACATGGAGATAAGATTGCATGCAAAGCAAATGCCTTGGCTTAATATTCAGATTCACATTTTATGTCATCCTGATGCTGATACAGTAATTACTCTGGGGCCACATTACTGAATGAGTCTAATTTATGGTTGCTTAGTTTAGCTTATTCTAAACAAAAATAAAAACAGGAAATAAAACATGTAGGAACTATACTCTTGGCATATATACAATACATTTCCTTAAAAGAAGAGTGCTAGCTATTTATGACAAAACACTGAATACAAAAACAGATCAAATAAAAATTTCTAATAAAAATTATGTGGATAATGTACAGTGAACCCTCACTTTACGCGGTTAATTCAACCCACGGCGGCCCGCGTAAAGTGAACAACATAACATATGGGATTAATTGAAATAGAGACCGGGCCGACCCCCAAACTCCACTTTTTCAGACACAATACCTATGTTGTAGTAAAAATAACTTCTTAATTTTATGATGGTATGCACACACAATTAATAATTAAGAGAAATATCAATAATATTAAGTTTTTTAACACTTACATTAGTAGAAAAGATGGCTGGGCACACGGGGATGGGGGTTGGTCTCCGAGGCAGAGGGCAGATTATTGGCCTCACCTGTATCACTTGTATCAATTGTATCACTATCCACCACAGAGGCTTGCAGGGCCTCTTTGTCAAACCCCTCTAAGTCCATATAAGTCCATATCCTCACTATAATTATCACTATCATTGACTTGGGCCGGCTGTGGTGGGTGGCGGGTGAAGAACTCGGTAATGTTTTGATGACTGGGCGACCTTGTGCGCACCCTGCTCGCGCCGCTTACACAACATGGCGAATGGCGGGAGAGATGGCGGGAGGTTTGGATCCAAAAATGGCACGGCTCGCCAGCTGCTCTCAGCGTAAAGGGGTACATGCACCGCGGAATGTGAGCATTCCGGTTTCGGCAGGGTACCGCGTAAACGTGGAAACGCGGAATGTGGGACTGCGTAAAGCGAGCGTTGACTGTATAGTTTTTTATAGGAAAAAAAGGCAGGTAATCATGACAATATTAGAAAACTTCTTCATGTGACAACCCAAAAGATCCGGCTTTCATCTAAGAAGAAGAAATGGTTGGTAGCAAGTTGTCTGTTTTATTCATAAAAAAATAATAATTCATAAGCATTATCAATAAGTGCTGTTACAAATAGAAATACAATTACTAGAAGTTATTCAAAATTTCCACAACATTAGTCATTTTATTACCAATGATATCAGTAAAGTGTTGTGACGGCACCGAGTGTGAGCTCTTTCAAGACCAGATTTGACCAGCACTGGAGCAGGTTCAGGTACATTCAGGAGCCGGTGCATGCCCAGTAATTGCCAACAGTGCATAACAGAGACGTGACCGATAGCCAAAGCGGCTGACGAGCCGATCAGTGGTGAAGAGGATAAAAGTAAAAGTAAAAAATAGTTTAAATTAATACTGTACAGTGGTAAAAGCAACCGAGATATACTTCATCGAGATAAAAATCATGTCATTGCTGGTTTGATATTGTTCCATCACTAACAACTTCAGTCAAACAGTAAAGTAATGTACAGTATTATAATTTCTTTGATATGGTTTGACTGGTCATTGGTCAGCAGTAAAACTGAGAACATTGTCTTAACTCCCACATGATCATGCTGTGTACTAAATGGCCCTATATAGACAATCTCACTTTCAAATATCACTCCAGCTAAAAATAATCAAAACTACAAACCAGCAAATCAAACTTTCTGAGAGTAAATTTATTGTAAAAAATGCTACAGTTCAAGTTCTTCAGGCCCTTAGTTTCTGAACCCCCTCTACCTGAGATTGATTTGATTGATTTATGGAATTTAGGCTCAAATCCAAGCACTGGAGCCAATTGGCCATTCAGTGATGTGCCCCTCTCTACCTGAGTAATACCTGGCTCAAACACTCAGGCTGGGCTATAGATTTCCCTGACAGATTAACTGTGAAATATTACCGACAATTAAGAAAATATGAGCAGCAGACTCCCTCAACCACCTGAGTCCTAACTTAACCTAACCAACCTCACCTAACTTACCCAAGAACTTGACCACACCATAGATGAAGAAGATAAAATTCACTAAATGTCACCTTTTAAATTTGTTTAATATATTTAGTAAATTGTTAAAATTGTATGTACGCTTCACATATTTGGCAACTTATGGAACAAATTTAAATATTAATCAACATCTTATTATTTGTTGGATCCTTATCACACATCCGCCATGAACAGTGAACTTAAACCAGATAATATATTATTTTTGAGGTTTGTTAAATTTGCATGTACTACTGTACAATATTACAGTATAACACTGCACCTTCTAGACCAGTACTGTACAGTATAAAAATGTTATCTTACAATTAATTTATCAAATGGAGTAAACTCCCTCACCTACGTAAAGATAATGTGAGGCAAGTTTCAAGTTACACAGTTGAAATACTGTACATTTAAAAATCTGACATTCTTAAATACCTGTACAGAACAGCATTCATAAACTCTGCTTTTATAAAAATCTCAAGTCTTATAATACTACATCCATATGTCAAATTACCATACAGTCAATCCAGCACACTGAACATTATCTACATCCCTGGATCTTCCCTCTTGCCAGAACTTGAAGGAAGCCACATGAAGAAACGTCCCCAAAAAGTCAATTGTCAAGCAATGCATGCAAGTTTAGTGAAGGATGCTGGTACAGTAAGCTCTTTAACATCTGGTGCAAAAACAACTGCAATTCTCAAGAAAATTAAATTTTTTAGAACCCTCTGTACATCACAGAACACTCTAGCTTAATGCCACTGTATATGTTAGTGGTAAACAGAGTCTGCAGATCTTCCCCAGGATTTGTAACATCTTATTTGAAAATAACTTGTATTTACAAGATCAAATACTGTTGTATAAGGTACAATCTGAAGTGATGGTTTTGAATAATAATGGAAAAATAATGTACTGTACACTCCTGCTATCTCAAAGGAATAAAGAGATCCTTCTTAACAATGCGTCAGACAGTAGACGTTTGTAAGGGACTAGGAAGTGGTGAAAAACAAAATGTTTTTCTCTGAGAGAAAACAATATTGGTTCAAGTATCAATGGCATAAAGACTGCATTATTTATCTGCTTTTGGGACTTTATTTTTTCTATATTGTATGCTGTAAGTAAATATGTGTTAATGTTAATTAGAAAAAAGAGACCTTTAAGGATTAACAGGGTGTCAAAATTACACAATTAAATACCTGTAATACAGTACAGTACAGTACTCTCAACAATCTACAACTTTATAAAAACTTGGCATAACCTTAGTCTTAATCCTGAGGATTGTGGATATTGAAGAGTTTACTGTACTTTATTATGTTCATACAAGCCAAGTGAGCATGGCAGTAACTCTGTAGGAATTGAGACATATGGGATATTAAGAAACCAAACAAGCCTCTATGTACAGTATTGTACAATATATCATGGAAAATAAAACTTTTTAACCAAAATTTATCTCTCCTTTGAGATTATCACAGAACACTGGAAACAAAGGTGAAAGTAAACCAGCATTTCAGTGTAAACATTCAGATCCACAACTGATGTTATTACCTGAGACCATACAACATGTTATTTGTGTAAAGTCTTGCAACTTTATTTTTTGTAAAGTTGAATGATTTATTTACACCTGGAATACTAAAATTTATAAAGCACTCTAACCAAATATTGCATCACACAGTTTATACAAACTGTTCTTCTTCTAGACTATCAAAGTTTTAAATGACATATTATTTTTAGTATAGTACAATAAATAAGAGTGAATTTGAATTCGAGAAAACTGAATAAAGTACAGGTTCGACCTTGCCAATCCGGGAAGCTTGTGACAGGTACAGATGATGATTTCGTGCCATTAATTAATCACCACACACTGCTTGCGGTCATATAGAAGTTCTTCTATCCACGCTAGGACATTTCGCCTAATTCCGTACCCTTCCAGTTTGATTTTCAGCCTTTCGTGGGATACACTGTCGAAAGCCTTGGCAAAATCTAGGTATATATTGTTGACATTACCACCCCGTTCCAGAATATGGGTCCAAATATCCAATACCTTGAGCATTTGTGTTAAGCAGGAGCGCCCTGCGTAAAACCGTGTTGGCAATCCTTTACAAGGTTGTTTCGTAGTAGATGTTCCATCGCGGCATCTCTGATAATACTTTCAAGTACTTTACATATTATGCTGGTCAGGCTCACCGGTCTATGGTTGTTCACGGAGTGACGATTGCCCTTCTTGAAGATAGGACTCACAAAAGCCACTTTCCAATCACTGGGGACCTTTTGTTCATCCAGGCATATACAAAACAGGATCTTCAGGGGCTCGGCAAGCTCGTAGCACAACTCTCTTAACACTGTGGGATACACCGTGTCAGGGCCGGGACTCTTATGGACCTTTAGCTTTGACAGTTTATTTCTAATACCCTCTTCTGTGAACATAATGTGGGTCAGTGCTATGTCGAACCGTCTGTCCTCAAACGCAGGAAGGTTAATTGTATCCTCCATTGTGAACACCGGGGAAAAGAAGCTGTTCGATGCCTCAGCTTTATCCTGGTCAGAATTTGCGTAGCTACCATCTTCAAGCCTCGGGTCTGATACTCCAACTCGCGTTTTTAATTTCAACTTTGCATAGCGGTAAAACGCCTTTGGGTTTGACTTGACCTCGCTTGCAACCAGTCTCTGGAACTCCTTTTCAGTCCTTCTACACTTTGCTTTTGCTTGGTTTCTGCCTCTTGCAAACATCCTCCTGTCCTGCTTATCGTTTGACCCAACCCACATGAATTTCTGGGTTTTCTTCTAAACTTTGTCGACCGCCGCGTGGTTCATGTGTAGGGATCCCCTCGTATTCCTAGAGGCACTGGGTTTGGTCTTGGGTATGTATTTAACAATCAAATGGGTCACTTTACTAGTTATGATATCCAGCGTAGTGTCTGCGTTCTTGTGCCTTAATGAGTCAGGCCAGTGGATACCCCTCATCTCTTCCCTGTTGTACTCTCAAAACTTTAGTGTTTCTGTGTGAAATGGCCCCTAAAAAACTGCCTAGTGTGAGTGCCAGTGATGCTAGTGGAGTGAAATGTAAAAGGCAGAAGTCAGTGATGACCCTGACAAAGAAAGTTTTATTATTAGATAAGTTGAAAAAGGGAACGAGTGCTGCTGTAGCAGTTCAGTTGTTTGGTATAGGTATACAGTAGTGCACTGAGGTAGTATAAGTTGCCATTTGCAGTTTTGCCAATTCGCGCCATTTCTTGGAACCTATCCCTCGCGAATGGTAAGGATCTACTGTACAAAAGAGGGAGTTAAAGTTTTTCGCTTATAAAATGTCACTGACTTGACTTAGCAGAATATATCTTGCATTTCTGGAATTCTTGTAAGATAGCGATTAATTTGAGTATAAATACTGTATCCCATAGTTTGCACTAAACATAAAAATTTGAGTGATTAGCAGGTTGTGATTATTGTACTGATTTTTCCATAACTACTATAGCATTACTGTTGACTTTTAGTAGTTGTGGAACATATTCTAATTTTTCCCATAAGATAAATTACCGTATATCTCGGCCTACAAGGCGACGGGGTGTATAAGACGGCCCCCAAAATTTCCATTTAAAAAGTAGCTTTTGAGCCCTATTCGCTGTATAAGACCGGTACCCCAAATGTGACACTTACCATTGGGAGCTTACTGACCCAGTAGTCCTTTACCAACCATCCCATTGACCAGTGCTGTTTACACATCCTTGGTTTTTTAAAATAAAGCCAATTCACTTCAAGTAATGGCATCAAACGTTACCGGTTGATGTAGTGTAAACACTAGTGACTCACTTAAAAGTTTGTTATTTAACTTGAACTAATGTCGGTGTCGAATACAATTGTTTCATTTACTTAAAATGGATTTACCGATTTATTTGTTTATTTATATCATACTGTAATATATTAAACACACTGGAAGTATTTTCTTTAATTTATAAGCTTGCTTCAGCGAGCTACAGTATTCTAATTCAATAGTGTTTCATTAGGATTTGAGTGAAAAAGATTACTGTACATACTTACTACATACATTTATTACACAAATATTTATATATATATATATATATATATATATATATATATATATATATATATATATATATATATATATATATATATATATATATATATATATATATATATATATATATATATATATCACAATATTTTATAATTGCAGTCATGTACTGAATATTCTATGTAAAAAATATAAATTTTAAATGAATTATTTCTAGTGTGGTCGACTTCCTACACAAAGACGGGCTATAAATAGCCGTCTTATCTCCCCTCTGTTCTGAGAGAGAAGGTCTTGGTAAATAACTTTTGTTTGTTTATTTTCATTGTTTGTCAAATTTATCATGTTGTATCAAAGTAATATTACTAAAAGTTTTAGGCAGCTACCAAACAGGGAGATTCTACTGCCTGGGAAGATATTGGAAGCATAATGTACAGTATTGTCTAATGGTAGACCCTACTTCCATATGGCATCACGAAAATTGTGACCAAGTCTTAGGTTGCTGATTTATCTTACTGCCTCATTTACACACAATTGCTGAGTTTCAATTGTTTCTCTTCCTTTGACAACACAACATACATACAATATAATGTTTCACCTTTGATCTTTTTTCCATTTATTTATGGTTGGTTATTTAAAATAATGCCAATTCACTTCAAGTATTGGCATCAAATTTTACCCGCTGTTGTACACTAGTGACTCACTTAAGCGTCAGTTATTTAACTGGAACTAATGTTGGTGTGAGTAAAATATTTCCATTTACTTGAAATAGATTTGCCGATTTATTTGTTTATTTATTTAGCTATAATATATTGTAATACATTAAACACACTGCAAGTATTTTCTTTAATTATATACTTGTTTCGCGAAAAAGGGAGGCTACCATTATACCTGGTAGGTGAAGTTGACCAGACATTTATGATCATTAAGGACCAAACTCCGAATCCATGACGTGACTTCTGTTAATCATTCTCATCCTAAATTTACCACTGTCGGTAGTTTCAAGAATTAACGCAGTCATTTACTGAATATTCTTTGTAAAAAAATTAATTTTAAATTAATTATTTATAGGAGATAAGTATTATGATCAGTAAATATACAGATATGCATTACTGACCACCTCCGAACACAAGGACGGCTAAAAATAGCCACAGGCGGTCACTGTCAAGGTCGCTTTCCCTTTCTCGTCACTGGCAAATGGGGGGGGGGGGTGATGATAGCAGCTGTGTTTATTACCGGGGTATATTGTTCTTTTACGGTATGTTAGACTGGTTTATAATACATTTTTATTATTTTAATATACCGGTAATCTTCATTTTAATCCAGCTTCCCAAATGTAAGTTTCAGTATAAAATAATTAGTGGTAGGACCTTGTGAGTGGTTTACCATGTTTCCATCACCACTCTTGACACGCTAAACCGCAAAATTTAAGAGGTAAGAATTTTATCTCTGGTGCTTAAGACGACCCCCTAACTTTGGGCTGATTTTTTTTTTGTTCAAATTCCGTCTTGTAGGCCGAGATATACGGTATTCATTATATGCACCCCGAACCACTAAGCTGCCGTTTTATCGGGTCCCGGATTAGTGGGATCCAACCTGTACTGTATTGAAAGAAAACTTAATCATTTAACTTACATAACATATATCGTACCTGTACTGTAACCAGTTCATGTGCCAGCAAAGTGTTAACAAGAGAAAAAATGAGCACACACCTTCGTTCATGGTCACTCATATAGCCACGGTCATAGAGATCACGACGACTCCCGTAGCTGTCATTGCGATCGCTGAAATAGCCGCTGTGGTCACGTTCATCACGAAGTGCTGCAGCGGGAAGGGACCGCTCTGACCCTCTCGTACTCGCTGGTAGTGTTCCATACTTATTGTTGAGGTTCCCTGCGGCAGAGATGCTGGTGAGTACAATGTCAGAAGAGAACAAAAATGAGGTAATGCTGCAGCTGCCACACTAGACCCTGGCACCCTGGTTGCTGCCTACCAGTCAACAGGTAAACAACACTGCCATGCCACTATGTGTACAGTAGCACCATAGTAAGACTGTAAGCCAAGTGGAAAAAGCTGCAGCATCACCTAAAGAGTCATATCCTGATGCAAGGCAATTCTGAACAAACATGCAAGGAATATATCTACTGCAAAATGCTATATTACCATGCAATAATCATATAATTCAATGTGGCAAACACACTTGGAAAACTGTATCAAATTTACTGTATAGATAATTAAAAAAAAATTTCCCTCTGACAAGAGGAAATTCTACATTGCCATAATTCCAACAGTATTTTTTATTGTCTATCTATATTAGCCTAAAATTAAGGAAGTTTTTTATATTGTACAAGGAACTACATTGGCAAATCAGACTTATTATTAGCAGATCATGCTTGAGTGTGGGGGGGATGGGTGATGAACACGAGCAGCCTCAGTGGGCCCTCCTTCATCATCTGTAGCTGTCAGCATTGAACCTCTGTCTTCAGGGTGCCACCATCTTCCTGTAATCTAACTAAGCTAACACCCTCACCCAACTACTCCTAGGAAAAGGCTCTATGAAAAATAAAGAAAAATAACAATAAAAAGTATGAAAATGTCCAGGAGTAGGAGTTTGGGAGCTTTAATTTAAGGGCAGGAGTAAGTAAAGGATGAAGAGGAATGGGTGAAGAGGAGTATAGCCAAATTTTCCAAAATTCATCAAGAAATATACTACTGTACTGAATTTTTTAGCACATTTTTGTCAACCAATAAAATGAAGGAGTTGGTATCATTACACATCTGTGCTGCATTTTCAAATCCCTTACCTTAAAATACAAACTTATCTAAACGCTTTATCTAAATTTAAATTATCTGGTTGACTCACCCTACTGACATCTACCTTATTGACCCAGTAAACTACTGTATTTAGTAAAGTCTGTTCACTCAAACTTTGCAACTGAGGCCTAAGGTCAGTTTGTAGCAAGGCATTTGATTGACTAGCAGATGGACACTGGAAAAGTCACTACAGTTCAATAATATTTAATCTATATTGTTGTTCTTTTATAATAATTTTCATACTAGCATAAGCAAAATTATCATATGAAATGCTTTGGTAACATAAATGTCTTGAAGAGAACAAGAAAAAGAATACAGTACAGTGATCCCTCGGTTAACGAGTGCCTCGGTTAACGAGATTTTGGTTAACGAGTTACCTTCCATAAGATTCTTAACTTCGGTTAACGAGTTTTTTACGAGCCGACCTTAACATGTTTTCGCTTGCATTTGGCGGTCCACCAGCTGTAGTATTAGTCCGCCAATACAGTAATCAGTTTTAGAGCTTAAATTCCTTACTATTTTAGTAAATATCAAGAAGTTTATACTAGTCAATAATTTTAAAAGTTTATAATTAAATTTGTTAGTCATTTTAACAATTATTGAACATAAATGAAGGTAAGGAAACTAGTTTCACGCGCTCGCCATCCAGCCTGTCAACACACCAAACAGGCGCCAGTCTCTCTGTCTTTTCAGTGGAGGTAACATCTTGCTTGAGACTCTCTTCAACTAAACGCTTTTTTTCTGTGTTTGCAAGCAAATTATTGGTCATTTTGAAATTTATTTTACATATTGACAATATATAATGCAGTGCAGTGTTGATTTAAAGAAAATAATCTTGAATTACACCAAGAGAACTAAAGTTTTATGGGTAAAATGGCTCCATGGGGTGACTTCTCTTCCACCCCAATGCCTTCTCTTCTCCCTTCTCCTCTACCCCCATTCTAATTCCCATCATCATCATCCAGGAGCCTTCTACATACACACCTCAAAGTAAGTGAACTTTTCTACCTTTTTTGTTGAATTTAAGCAATTTTCGGTGAGCTGGAACCAATTACCCAAAACACATTGAAACAATGGTTTCGGTTGACGAGTTTTTCAGTTAACGAGCAACCTGCTGGAACGGATTGTGCTCGTTAACCGAGGGACCACTGTATAACATTTCAGAGACATCCTCGACCATGCTGTGAGAAGTCACATAGCGAGGAGGATTTTATATCTCAGAACTTGTTCATCATTTTCATGTTCTCTTTAAGATATTTATGTTACCAGTGCTTTTCATATGATAATCTTGCTTCACCAAGTGCAGAAATTATAAGAAATTAACATGGAATGCACGTAGTTATTATCCCTTGAAGACTTAGAATGTAAATACAATAGATTAAATACTAAAGAACTATAGTGGCTTTCCTTGTGTCTGTCTAAAAGGCTATCTGCTGCCTTGCTACAAACTGACCCTAGGCCTCAGTTGCAAGGTTTGAGTGAACAAAGTATCATCCCTATTGCTTTCTAAAGCCACAGGATGTGTGTATTCACTTCAGAAAAATTACGAGTTCTATAATTAATAACATTCCTTCGATAAGAGACAAGAGAGCATCTTTATATGTTTATATCTATTTTCTTTATGAAACCTGAGTAAATACTGTACAGTACTGTATTCTTAAATTCACAAAATAAACCATGGAGTTTTGGCTACACATTTGAAGCAATTGTGAAGGTGTTTGAGAGCAGCCTGCACAAATAGTCTCCCATCAAAGACTTTTAGTTACCATTATAATTACAGCATTGTAACTTTATCATATCTCATCAATGGCTATATGACAACACAATGGCAAGAGCAATGAGAAGCATACCAAGTAATTTTCATTCTATATTTCTTTCATTATTTTCCTTAAATGTCCTTCCACTGAATACGAAAAAAGTAAAAAGTAGTTACAATAGCTGGATTCAAGACAGTGTTTTTAATTGGTTAGCATGACTTGGGACACATTTGCTAACCTAAAACTGTTTTACATACAGTCTATGAAGTCAGAAGATAATATGGCAGAGAACATTAAAAATCCTACCATGAATGATGGCTTCTTTAATACTGTACAATTAAATGTCACTTGCATAGGGCAATACAGTGGTCCCTCGGTTAACGAACGGTTGGTTAACGAAATTTTGGTAAACGAATTACCTTCCATAATAATCTTCAATTCGGTTAACGAACAAAAATTCGATTAACGAAATCCTTACGAACATCACTTTTTGTTGTGAGCATCAGCTGATCAGCTGATGGGCTAGTCTGCCAATTCAGTAATCTGTTCTATGTTTACATTCGTTTCCAGTGGAGTAAATATCAATAAAGTTGTGCTCTTTAATATTTTTGCATTTTTTATATTAAAATTATTAGTAATTTTAACATTTATATAACATATTGATAATATATGCAGTACAGGGAACTAGTTTTTTGTGCGCCCATCAGCCGCTTGACTCAGCCACCAGGCGTCAGTTTGGCTTTGAAAACAGGGGAGTGAACATCTATTTTGTTGGTGTATTTGAATAATTTTGCATTTTTCATTGAAATTATTGGCCATTCTGAAATTTAGTTAACATATTGATAATATATAAGCGCAGTGCAGTGTTGATTTAAAGAAAATAATCTTGAATTACACCTAGTGAACTTAAAATTTTACAAGTGAAATGACTGCATCAAGCATGGGTCCCCCTGAAAGGTGATTTCTCCTCCATCCCCACTTCCTTCTCTTCTCCCTTCTCCTCCACCCCCACTTCTAATTCCCATCATCATCATCATCAACCAGGAACCTTCTACATACACACCTCAAAGTAAGTGTACTTTACTGCAATTTTTTTTTTACTTTGTACTGTATGTACTTTTCGGTGAGCTGGAACCAATTCCCCAATATCCCATTGAAACAATGGATTCGGTTAACTAACGACCTTCTGGAACGAATTGTGTTGGTTAACCAAGGGACCACTGTACTGTACTGGTAATCACAAGATTTACTAAAAAAAAAAAAAATGAAGTCTTGAAGGCTAAAAGTCTGTCAACCATTTTCTTGCCTACCAGTACTGAAAATATAAACTCTGTTTACAATTATCAGAAAAACGAGTAATTAGCTCAATTTTCTTAGATTAGTTCAAAACTTACATGCTCATGAATCCTGTAGTAAATATTAAAACCATATCCAGCGACCTTGTCAATATTTACTTATTATGTCTACTTACTGGTATTTATACAGTACTTTTATTAAATCAATCACAGATGGAGGCATCAGGTCTGTATGTCTCTACAATATCTATGCAGTAATTAAGAATTCAATATTTCCACTAAACTTTTCGTCAAACTTCTAAAGCTATCATGCTACTACGACGTGAAAATCAGAATAAATAATACTGAGTGATAACACTTCTAACGCAGTCAAAACAAAGTCTCCGTGACCTATTATCACACGCCATGTTTGTGATCCTCCCTGACCATCAAACTTTCTAAGTTATAAAATCAACAACACAACCAATAAACCTTCATAGAAAAATTACAATGCAACTCTAACAGAAACCTCCAGAAATCCAAATGAATACAGTCATCTACTCTTGAGAGAATATATTCAAAAGGCTGAAGTTTTGGATTTAGTAATTAAAAAAAGTTATGGATGCATAAAAAACCCACTAATTTTTACAAAAATAATAGTCAAATGAGGTGGACATGTGTACAAAAGACAAGAAATTTCATCATAAGCATCATATACTGCACCAGAAGTGAGGACATTTCTACCTTTTTATGATAGAAACTTATTATTTCTCCTCCTCAGAAATGGTGCATAGTGTATGTACAATACCAAACAAATACTTTTACCTAACAGCCACCACAACCACAGGTGGACATTGTGGGGATGGAGGCTGATAAGAAGATACCTTAGAAAAAATATGATAAGGAAAGATAGCTCACGATAAATTATTACAAGGTTTTAAAAAAGAAACCATTGTCTATGTGTTCAGAGAAAGATGAGTATCAAATAATGGAGGGATATCTTTAGCCAGCACTGAGAGACTGCAGTACTGCACCTCACACTACTGGC